ATACATACATACATACATACATACATACATACACACACATACATACATACATACACAAACACACAAATATAAACCAAATGGTTGGCCCTCACATAAAATTAAGATTTTGGGATGAATTTCAATATTAATTAATATGACCAAAACTTGATCCACTTTAGACCACATACACTAATAATACATACATTTAAACATCCTTATATACAATGGTTGCATATTCTTACAGGTAAGAACATTGACAAAATAAAATAGGATTGATATCCCCCTATTCACATTAAATTGTCTACACCCATCTAAAACCAAAGAGCCTAGCTTAAGTGGATGGTCACTAGTTTCCAAGATAATGGTCCCAAGTTTGTTTCCAAACCTAATATTTTTTAAACTAAATAATCACCAGCTCCATGAGTTAAATTTGGTCTATAATTCACCACACAGTTTTCACATAGACATATCCTCACATAGACATATGTATAATTGGCTTTACACCCTCTTGGAAATTAATTGAAATGTTTAAGATAAAGTTATATCCATAAAAAGTTAAAAGAGTTATATCCATAAAAAGTTAAAAGAGTACAACACTGAGGCAAAAATAAATATACCAAACTCATGCTAAACATAATAATATGATTCAAACCAAATGGCAATTGAATTTCAAGACCAATAGGCAAACTCAAGCCAAAAATAAATGTGAGAACAAAGAAAAGACATACTCTTTGCCTTCAAGTTTCACTTCAGTTCCACCATAGTCATGCAAAAGAAGAACAAATCCTTCCTTCAAAGAAATAGATATTTTTTCCCCATCTCTATCTCGTATTCCAGGACCAATTGCCACAACTTTACCAGAGTTAAGCTACACCATGAAAAGCAACATGATAACATTAAAGGAAAGTTAAAATAGACTATAGATGAAGCAAATAAGGAAAGACAATATAGCAGTGCCAGTTTTACCATAAGCGATCAAAGATCAATCAATATTATAAATATCTCAATAAAATCTGGAAACCAAACAATGTAAGAGATACATCAGAAGGCAAAAAAAGGCACGCCTTGGCTTAAAATTACAGATAAAATTCTAAATATGTCTGCGATATATAAAGATGGAGACCAATTTGAGCATAAAACAGTATATTTCTGATTTAGAACATAGATGTCATTTTTAAAAAAAAATTATTTAAGATGTTATTAGCCCAATCCACTAGCATCTTCAAATAACACGAGATTATACTGCAATGCCTGTAAACAGAGAGCGCAATAACGAGTAATTTCTATCACAGGGACACTTGTAACTGAAAAACTATAAACCACATGAGACAAAAATCTCAATCTATGAACAACGCCTGCTAGTAATTCACATAGAAAATGAAAAAGAAAAAGACCTGGTAGGCATAGCCGGAAGAAAAAAAAATCTAAACTTTAAGAGTCGTCGCGAAATGTAGATAGAAACCGTCTTAATCCAGCAAGTGAAAATGAAGAAACAAGCGAAACTGGGCAAGCTGAGATTATAAGAACTGGGTGGGCATCAAATCTTACCTTGCCGCTCTTCTCGGGAAGAAGGATGCCGGTATTTGTATTCGAGGAAGGAATTATCTTCTCCAATATAACATGATTGAAACTGGAATCAGCCGCTTCGCCATCAGTGCTCGCAACAAAATGGATCGACCGGCTGAGTGAAGGAATCGGGCTTCAGTCCGGTTATCACTGGCTAGGGTTTATGGAGGGCTTATTGTGGATAATTGAATTTACATAAATACCTCTGCTTTAACAATGCGCTCAAGCCTTCTGTGATATGATTTGTTGGCATTGCTGGCAATTTTGGCAATCAAAGTGATCATTTAACAATGAGCTCAAGCCTTCTGTGATATGATTTGCTGGCATTGCTGGCAATTTTGGCAATCAAAGTGATCATTTTTAATATATATGTGTGTCTTTAAAAGATAAAGTGCTCATTTTGTTTTTTTTTTTTTGGAAAATTTACATACATACCACTCATTTTTTATGCATTTGCATATCTAACATATGAACATCAAATTTTTTACATACATGCCATCCTACCTATGTAATAAAAGGTGTATTTCATTTTTTGAGTGTAAATGAATTTATTTATTATGTGATACTAAATTTGTGGGTGGTAAAAAATGTTAAAAATAGAAGTTTGATTATATTGACTGGTCATAGCCAGTTCATTGATATAATACTGCAATGTCAATGAATTGTCGAGTATTTTACATGCGACCATTGTTGTCATTTCTATAGTGGTAAAGCTATGGTTATGTTTCCTTTTGGTATGCAAAATATAGGACACTGTACTATTTCTTCTCATACCAACAGAGGTGTGGTTTTTTATTTTTGATATGTTGTGCGAGTAAAAAATGATTTGTTGTACTATTATTTTTCATACTAACAATATTTGGTTGTTGTTTCCTCTTCTGTTGCAATCAAAAAAGATGAGCTCAAGGATTTCCGGGACATCTCGATGATTGCTTTGTCACTGTGGCCTCCAAACTTTCCTACTGAAATCACGTCGGCCGCACAGCTACAAGAGAAAGTTCTATAACTGCCCACGGCGCATCGCAGAACAGTGTCACTTCTTCCATTGGGCAAATGATTTGGTGAATTCTCCCGACGACGATGATCGAAAATGGAGAACATCACTCTAGGAAAGTCTAGCACGGGAGATACACCGTCGGAATGTTAAAAATAATATAATCATCTTATTAGTTGTCATTGTAATTGTTTTTTACTTTTTTTTTGCTCTTTTGATACTCACTGTGACGTGAGATGTATATTTGTAATTCTGTAATGTTTTTAATTAAATTTTTGCCTTAAAAGTATTAAATTTATGGCTTTTGGGATTGATTACAAATTGTAGAAGTCAATTTTTTATATGTTTAACTTATAAAATAACAGTCATGCAAGCTCACTATTCATGGATTTACCTTACACTAGTACCACAAATGGGAAGATAGATTATGATATTTTGCCTTCCATGATGAAAGAAACTTCTCCCGATATAAATCGGATAATTGTAATGAATTGTCTATTAAGAGCATTTGCTACTCCAACTCTCAAATATAATACATTAGTGCTTTTTGTTAAAAATATGCCTCACATATTTTGAATCGTTCTTATAAATATGATTTGTTTTTGTTTTTAGGGCATGAGTTGAAGGAGAAATAGCAAGAATAAAAGATGTAATGAATAAGAAAACAGTTATTGGAAAGATAATTTACGAAATTTTTGTTATGGTTTTAATGAATTTTGATTTTTTTTTTCTTTATCACTTTCGGTACTCAGTGTTAAGTTAGTTGTATATCTTAATTGTTAAACTGTTTTGAAGTAAATTTCTATTTCAAATGTATCATATATATAACTGTCATAATTCTGTTCCAAACGATTTTACTAAACAGAGGCAAAATGATCATTTTTTTCAGAAACAGTTGTCTCACATAGTTGCACCAAACAACAAATCAACTTCCCCGCAGCTTCTTCCAGCTTCTTCCTGGGGCAGTGCAGCAGCAGCTGCGCCAAACATACCGTAGTATCGGCTGCGCATGGAGTCATGCATAACCCCCCCCCCCAACACACACACACACTATATATATATCGGATGTCACTGATTTAAATAATATTAAATTAAAAGGAAATAGACGTTTGAGACACACTTGCATTATTATAATGAATTAAGAAATTAAAAAAAGTTTAAACATCTATGATGTATTTTTACAAGTAAAGTTAAAAAAATATCTTTTATTTAAGAATCAAACCAATTTGTTCAACTTATTAGTCAATTTTGTTTCTCGTTGATTAGCTCGAGCGATCACTCGCCTGAGGTGGTATCTCTCGCTATGGATATCTTTATTTTTTAAAGATAATGCTATTAATTATTTTATTTTAATTTTTGTATTATTGTTCTATATTCTCAATATTAGAAGTGTCATGTATCTACGTCGTATCGTGTCGTGTCCATATCTGTGCAACATAGTCCATGAACTATGAAAACCAAAGGAAGAAATAGAATTAAAATTCAATCATTGATTTAATCAAATGATATAATAAATATTTTAATTATTTTAATATAATTTAAATAATATAATATTAAATTTTATGATAAAAATAAATAAATTTATACATAATTAATATTATTAGTATTTATAAAACTAAAACTTCAAATAAAATTCATTTTACGTGCTGAAAAATTTTGGGCATTAGAGCAATAATTTAACACCTTAGTGTTGCATGAATATCCAACAAACACACAGATAATTGATAAATTGTAGGAGGCAACACAAATTTTTTAGATAGAAAACCCTAGAAAGGGAAAAAATCATAGTATGTAGCCCAATTAAAATAATTCATTATATGCTTGTAAGTACATGAGTCAGCTCTCCCGTGAATTGGAGAAGATGAAATTATAATGTTGATAATTACATTTGCATAATAATAGTTTAGATATAATTACCATAATTTGGCTACAACAAGCATGATTCTTAGTTGTAATAGAAATAGTTAGTCGCAAAGGTCGTAGTTGATTATTATAAAGACAGTAGTTGACCATAAAGGCTCTAGTTGGTGGTTGCAATGACGAAAGTTGACCACAGAGGCCTTAGGATGGCAGCAATAGCAATAGTTGGCCCCAGGGCAACTGAGTGGCAACTAGAAGCTTGACCAAAACAAGAGACGATGCTCTAGCATTGTGAAAATAATGCCACAACAATGTTGGACATCAATAGGTGGAATTGCACTTTGGCCCCACACACAAAATAGTGTATAACCTTACAACACCAAAGGCTGATTTTGCAGTGCTATGGCTAAAATATAGAGCCCTAACCCTTGATTTTGCTCAAAAATATGAAGGGGAGGGGTTACAGACTTATAGTACACGTGCTTTTAACCTAAAGCCTCCTTTGACAATAACTTAACTTATCATCTATCAAATAGCTTTGAGGGGCTCTAATGAAAGAAGATTGTGAGAGTTTTAGAGATTTTGCATACGTGGAGAGTTTAAAGGCTTCCCCAGTGTGCACTCCAAAGCTTGCATCTCGAACTAAGAATGCTCCTCTGACCACGAACAACGTCAACTCTAGCAATGACGACTATCAAATGAAGGAGGTGAAGGCCAAGATGTGCAGAAAAAGCTCACACACTCTAAAAAGAGAAGATGGAAGAAGAGTAGGGAAAAACTCAAGAAGCTCTTGAATTGCAATGGAAGGCACAAAGGAGATTAATAAACATGATATGTTAAAGCTAAGGGTGGCCATGGGCGGCCTCTTTTAAAGGGTAAAAGGTTGGTCTGACACTGCGGTGTTAACTTATAGCGCTTAAGGGTTGCTGCTGAGGAAAGTACCAAGCCAGCTAACATGATAGAGGTCAAGCCACTATCCCCTGAATATGTTAGGATGGCTCCCATGTGTCAGTGTCAGGCACATAGGCGCCATTGAAGTCACATTTGCCACATCAATTGATAACACAAACTATATCCTTGATATGATGACATGTGTCAGCATGACATTATGGTGCTAGCTATGGGGCGTCGAGTTGTTGATGACATGACACTGACACCTTTAGTCAGCCACCACACTAAGGATCTATTTGTTGATTTTGGGTGGTTCCATGTGGCATATAGCGTTGTTGAGCCTGTAATGGGCAATGCAATGTTGGTGATGTGGCAACTATCATATTAGCCAACAATCACCAGATGATTGTGCCTCGAAGCCTAGGATAACCATTGTGATGCTAAGAGCAAGGTGCTTAGGTGCCTATTTTTCCCAACTTCTAAAATTTTTAATATTTTTCCAAAATTTTTAATATTTTTTCAGGCTTCTAAAATGTGGAAAAGGAACTCATAGAACTCGCTAAAAGGTGTAACTGCATTTAATTTAATCCAAAAACTTACATTTCCTTTCATTAATCATAAATTTTTTTACAAAGCTTCATGAATATTAAAACAAACTTCCTAAATGAGGGAAATATATGAATAGGAAATGTGACATATCGGTTAAAAATATAAGGGCTATTCACTTCTCATATCATAATCATTATCATTATTGTTGCCACCCATTGCTCCACTCAATTTTGCCTATGAATAGTTCTAATGTGGAGGGATCTTATGTGCTCTTTCTCATCTTTCTAATTGTCGTTTTAATTGCTACACAACGAGAGTCAAGATAATTTGTGTGAATCAATTTTTTTATTGATTGTGATAGTGTTTACCTACAACGTCTAAACTAATTGGAGATGATGACACACGTAAAAATTACTTATTTTTTATATACATTTGATGATTGTTTTTAATGATATTTCACGTTAAAGGAAGGTATCTTGCATTTTTTTGGTTCCAGGTACAAGAGTTGGAGTTTTGGAGAAAATAGAGAAAAAATGATGCAATTTAGAGTCAATTTGAGCAAGGAAGAAAATAATGACCTGACGCATTTTGATGACTTTGTATGCTCAATCTTCTTTACATTTATCACATTTTTTAATGAAATTACACTTTAAAGAAAGACTATTTTCATATTTACCTTGTAGGTACAACACTTGGAGCAGTTTGGAGCTGAAATAGGGTGAAACGGAGTGAAACTGGCGTGCTACTACCAGGGTAGCGCCTAGGTGCCAAAAGCGACGCCTAGGCTCCAGTCTTGCCCACAAAATGGAGCCTAGGCGCCCATTCTGAAGCCTAGGCACACATTCTAATGCCTAGTTGCCATAAATAGTTATGGACGGGCTCTAGACACCCTAGAAAGTTTTTAAGCGCCCTTTGACACTTGTGAATGCACCTTTTGACATTTCAAACTCTTGA